GCCGCTGCACCGGGACGGAGCACCGGCGTGCTGGGGGATGCTGCTGCTGCTGGGAGGTGTTGGGGAGGGGTATTAAAGGGGTTCACTGCGGGGAGAGCACTTTATTGGGGTGCATTGGGGCAAGGGTGCACTAGTGAGAGTGCACTGAAGGGGTGCACTAGGGAGAGGGTGCATTAAAGGGGTTCACTGAGGAGGGGGACCATTATTGGGGTGCATTAAAGGGGTTTATTGGGGGACAGTGCAGTAAGAGGGTACATTGGGGGGTGCACTGGGGAGAGGATGCATTAAAGGGGTTCACATTAGGGGGCATTGAATGGGGGATGCCCTGGCAGCGGGGTGTCTGTGGGGTGCAGGGACAAACACCAGCAGCTCCACAACCGCGTGGAGGGTTTGCCCGCACCCCGGGCGACCCCTCGGGTCCCTCTGCACTGCTGAGGGGGGTCTGTCTGTATTCCATGCCCCCAGTTCCTCTCATTCCCAGCTCCTCAGGCAGGATGCCCTTTCCTGGTCTGTCCCACACACCCCGGCTCCCCCCCGCCGCAGCCTCCCCTTTTCTCTCCTCCCTTAATAATCAAATTCTCCGGAGCACTTTGCGGTGTGGCAGCCAGCCAGAAAGGGTTTCTTTAAACTCCACCAGCTCACAATTAAACAAATCCGGGGCTGACGCTACTCGATAGGCGCTTATTCCCCTCCCTGAGAGCTGCCGGGGGATCCAGGGGGGTCCAATCGCTTCGTTCCCAGCTCCGGTACCACCTCACCATATGGGGCTGCACCCCTGGGAGTGGGACGAGGGCTGGGAGAGGGTTTGTGCCGGGGCTTTGGGGTGGGAACGGGGTGTCCGCGGTGCCAGCAGCGCTCTGATGGCGGAGCATCCCCCTGCGAGAGCACGCTGCTATTTTTAGTCGCCGAGTCCTTGTTGATGGTGCAGCAGCGAAGGCGAGGGAGCAGCCGGAGGAGCAGCAGGGCTGGATCGGCCCCCGCGGGATAAGCAGCAGCTGGGAGGCAAGGCCAGCGTGCAGGGAAACAGGGGATCCTCTTGCCCCACGAGGCTCTGGTGTTGGGGGTCGTGGGTGCTTTCCGAGGGTCCCTGCCATGGGATGTCCTGGGCTGCCTTCAGAGGGTTCCAGATCCAACCATGTCATGTTCCTGCCAATCAGGAGGAAAGGAAAAAGGAAAAAGGAAAAAGGAAAAAGGAAAAAGG